GGAACTTAAATACTGGTCTGGTTTATAAAAGAAAGTACTAACCAGTTTAACTAGAGACCATGGGTTGTTTTCCTTTGGCTTTGGAAGGAAAGGCTTCCTGTTTGGGAGCTTGAAGGTAAGTTTCATGTTTATTACATTAACTGTAAGCCTCAGTTTTCAGGACTGATCTTTTATTTCTAATATAACAATCCTGAAAATGGCTTCACATAATTTAAGAGTGGCAGGCAGAGTATATCCATATGAATTCAGCGTTAGGAGACAACATCTTGGTACTGGTAATGGCATAAGAGGCACTCACTATTTTCAGCAGAGCAAGTTAGGCTCTTTAAAGCAGAATTGAGGGCAGTGAGAAGCAGTTTGGGGAGACAGAAGAACAGGGAAAGCACTGCTGGGTATCTGTCAGGGGCACACCTGTGGGGAGCACACAGGTGTTCCTCTGATTTATCTTGTGCCAGAAGTAATTGTGGAATGCTTTCTGAGACTGGGGTGGGGAGCTGAAGTTCCTAAGTCAAACTAGGGAGAGGGATTGAAGCAATAATTTGAGTGTGATAAATTAATGTGTACTTACTTTTAGTTTGGAGACAGAATAGTGAAGTCATTTCTCTCTTCTTTTGGAAATCACCCAAAAACAGTAAGGAGAACGAGAAGTGGAACTGCAAACTCCAGCTTCAACAAACCTAGGAAACATCTGAAACTTGTAACTCTCTCTGAAAACAACTCTCAACTGAAAGAGTTGAAAAAGTAGTGAATATCAAATGGGAATACAGGAGAGTGCTTGCTTCTGCAGGATCTGAGAAACCTGGCTAGTATCTTCTCTAAGGCGAGGCTATTTGCAGGAGCAGTCTGTTAGAGTGGCATGGAAGAGAATAGCCTTCTCCTGTAGTATGTGATCTTCATTGGCAGGGCTAGAAAGGTTCACACACATAACTCTGGATCATGAAAAAAAAATCTGCTAGCTTGTCCCCTCCTCCATATGAAAATCCTACAAATACCTGGGAAAAACTTAATTTAAAAATGAGTCATCAGTTTTCCTCATGTAGCTAAACAGACATTCCATTCTTCCACAATCTCATTCTTGACCCCTCTCACATGCTATATCTAGTCTCCTGGCAAATACTGATGGTTCTACTTTCACAATACATCCAGAATTGATTTCATCACTTCCACCATTACCACCCTAGTCTAAGTTCCCGTGCACACCTAGAATACGGCAGTGGTTTCATAACTGTGTTCTCCATGTTGACATTTGACTCTCTATAGTATTTCTTTCAAACACAGCTGCCTAAGCTACATTAGATCGTGTCACTCTAATCAAAAACTCTCTCCAAGATCTTCTCATATAAAATCCAAAGTTCATACCATGCCTAATGATCTTATTCCTTACTGCTCTTTGAACTCATCTCACAATGCTTTGTGGCCCCTAGCTTATTCAATTACTTTCACTACATCCCTTTACCCGGTTTTCTTAATATTTATCCCATCTGATATGTTTATTGTGTCACCCCTCCACCAGAATGTAAGCTTCATTAAAGTGGGGACTGATTTTGTTCACCACTGTACTCCCAGTGGCTAGAATAGTACCTGACACAGTGGGTGACTAGAAAATATTTGCAGTTGATAAAACAATAAAAAAGAACTAGCACAGGCTTTGTATGAGGATATTACAATAGACAGGAAAAGAGCTTGAAAAAGATCAAGTTGATGAAAAGCACCAAAAAAATAATGCCTCAAAGTAGTTGAGAATTATGATCAAGCATTTCATGATCACCTTCTCTCTATACAATAAGAGCAGACATCAGAAATACAAGAGGATATGATGAAACAACAAAGAAAGAAATGAGCTGACAGAACTCAGGAAAAAATTATAATTCATAAAGATAAATATAGAATTGGAATGATAGAATATACAGTGCTCCATTCACAATAAGGGGAAATAGAAAATAGGGATTAAAAAATTTTTTTAAATGACATGGAGATAAGAGATGCATCATCAAAATGCATTTTTAGTAAATCAGCTGACAATTCACTTTAACTCTCATACTAACTTGACTGAAGGCATAGAACTGGAAACTACCTGACCTGCATTCAGGCCTCAATATCAACAATATTTCAAATTGCCCCTTTGTTTGGAGCCTTGAGGGGAGGTCAATTTAGGAACAAGAACATGTGGATGTATAAAAAGTGGTTTTGCTGAACCCCTTCATGTACCCCAAAAGTGGATATTCATCTGAAGACTGGTTAACAATGCCAAGTACTGCTAACAACTCAAGAAAGTAACTGAAAAATTCATATTGTAGGAAAATGAGAATTATTGATCTGATGAACATAGTTTTCAAAGCAATCGTGCCAAGGTTGAGTAGAAACAACACTTAATTGAGGAGGGAGAGAATGGCAGGGAGGAAGACAGTAATAGAAGCAAGTTATTAAAATTGGATGTGGAAGGCAGGAGATAGGATTACAACAGCTGAAGTATGTATCATCTTGGAACAATTAAGATATGTAATACTGGGGGGTACAGATAGTGACAGAAACGGGCCAATAGATTAAGGGAGAGGTTGAAGACTCAAAAGTAAGATAAACAAAATATTAGGTTCACAAGAAGATGCAAAGAATTAACTATAGCTAGTATTTATTGAGCACTGAATACCTCCCAGTGTGAAAAAACACTTAACATGTTTTATTAGATTCTCACAATAACATGCAAGGTAGCTGCTATCCTCATTTTACAGACAGGGAAAGGCAATTCAGAGAGATCCAGTTATGCCCAAGGTCACTCAGCATATTCACTATGGGTAGAGCTGGGCTGTGACCTAAAGCAGTGGGCCTTTTCCATGGTAGTGAACTTAGAAGGCAGAACTTGAAGAAATTTTTGCCTGATAAAATCTATTTCTTCTGTAAGCTAGAAGGCAAGGACATGTTAAGAATGAAGGAGAAAAGAGGGGGTCACAAGTTTATGAATAGAGGTTTTAAACAATCATTAAGAAAGTGGGAGAAAAGTTGACTAAAGTATTGATCACCATGCAGTGTTGAGGCCAGTTAACATTTTAGTAATACTGGTTTGTGCAGTTGGTCTTCCCCAGAAATAATCCGTAGAGGATTGGATATATCTAGGGATAGGATTTTCCAGGAAGGTATGACTGGAGATTATTTAGGATACTGGTAACTGATATTGAATTGATAGACCAATTAAAAATCTAGACAGTTTATGAAGGGGAAAACAGAATGACAATGACCTAATTTGAAAAAGTGTAAAGGAATGGAACTGTCATGATCAGAGGTAATTTCTATATTAGTGACTTCAGAGGTAAAGTTGTTCATAGATATTGGAAGCAACCAGGATGTTGTTGTCATGGAGACAAAGTAATGGAACCAAAGCCCTGTAAGAAGTGGTCACTGAAGTTAACCAGGTAGTTGAAAATATTTCTTCAAGATTTACTCAAAGAACGTGACCTTTCTGTTCTCACACTATTGTTTAATCAGAAAAACAATCACTTCAGGCTTTCTTCTGTAACTTCATTTCTTTCAGGTTGAAAAAATTACGGATTTGAGAACTTCTAACTATTAGTACACAGAAAATTTGAAATTATGTTTCTGAAAAATGTCAATAAAAAGGCTGTTAAATCATTGGCATAATAGGTTAGCACTTGGGAGAAGTGTTATTTCAGGTAAGAAGTTATCAATGACAAAGCAAATCTGTCATTAAACTTTTGACTGAACAGTCTTTCATTACATAAATTCGTTATTTTCCCATCTGATCTTTAGTAGGAGTATCAAGATGGCATGGCATCTGTTTTCCTTTAGTGTTTTTCCCCCCTGAATTTCTTAAGTTCAGGGGGGAAAAACACAACCTGATGTTCATCCTTAAAAGATAGCCATGATGTTTAATGTGCTGCAGGGACACTAGGCCATAATGGACCAACAGACCTAAATTTATTCCGACCTTGAATTATGTAAATGTGCAATAATATACGAACTGGAATGAGAATTTCCCTACTTGGACAAGGTCTTCCAGTGTAGTTACTTTAGAAGAAGGCTCTTCTATTTATATATTAAGGATCAAGACTTAACCTAGTATATTTAAACAATAAATTGATGAAAATACTTTTTAAAATGTAATACTGATTTCTCCCTCTTCTATTAGCCTAGAAACTAGATATTTGAAAATCTGTGGCAGGGACGGACGCCTGCATAGCTTATTTGGTTAAGCATTTGACACTTGATTTTGGATCAGGTCCTGAGTTTGAGCCCTGCATCAGGCTCTGTACTCACAGTGTAGAACCTGCTTGGGATTCTCTCTCCCTCTCTGCCCCTCGCCCAGCTCACACGCTCGTGCGCGCTCTCTCTCTCTCACACTCAAGTAAACTTAAGAAAAAACCTTTGGCTGACTGAAATTTGAATAAAGCCAAATGTATTCAAACCAAGTATCTGTTAAATGTCATATATCCTGTCTACTACCCACTAACTTGATATTTTACTATGCAGGGTAGCACCTATTATAAAACAATGTAAGGAACTAAGTAAAATCAAAAGCCAAATGTTGGGGGTCTGATCTATAAACAGATTGCATAAATCAATTATCAACTCTTCTAGTTGCTATACTAATATTTTAAATTTCAAAGTGACATAAGAATTTTTTCAAAATCCAATACATCAAACACATACTTAAATACCTAGATATATAAAAATTCACCAAACAGGTTTGACTCAAGCCTTTGAACATGTTACTTAGAGACATTTTGGACCCAATTATTCAAAGATTATTGACTAGCCCATAATGCAGTTTGTCAGTCTGCTATACAGATCAACCACATAACACCAGTCAGAGGATTCTAATCTTACTCCCACAGAAGCAGCAATAAAATCAGAAAGCAATACTATGTGCAGTAACTTGATAATCGAGATAATAGCATTGGGATAAAATGAAGAGAATTTGTTTCAGCTTCTTCAATAAGCCTACTCCTCATTTTTAGATAATGAGGATAAAGGTATCACAAACCAAATATGGGAAACTGCTTTTCTTTATTGAGGCCTTAGGAAGAAAATTAACTTTGGTCACATATTACCTTAAAAAAAAATCCAGTTTTACATATTCCTAAACAGGACCAAATAATCAGTGAAATAATTTCTTCTGTAAAAATTGGCCAAATTTATCAAAAATCTAACATACAATGTAATTCAAATTATATAAAGACTGCTTGGGATCATAACATTCCAAAATGTATGATAGTTGCAACTCCATCTTAACTAGTGTGAAGTATTTGCTCTCATGTTGCTTTGGTCCAACAGAGTAGAGCTGAATCAGTAAGAGTAAACTAAGTACCTAATCTTCTGCAAACAATTTAGACTGTTATTGGCAGCAGAATTATCCATCATGAATAGTTCTACTACAACAAAGTATAATAACTGAATATTTTTCATGAACACATTACAGTATCAGATAAACTTCGTATAAGAGAAAAATAATAAAGGAACAAAAAAGATCAAACAGCTACCACAAAAAAGTGTCTCCCCCATAACTATCTGAAGGAGTAAAAAGGTGAGATTAGAGGTTTGATGATGCTAATATGAAAGGAAATTGAGTATTGTATTTATTTCTTATTTTATACAACTCTTACTCTTTACAAAAATGGTTAATAGTCATGCCCATAAAAGTGTAATCCATGGCATCTGAAAGCAAACACTCTTTGTAATTATTTAAAAGGGCCTTTTTAAAAATTATAATACAAAGGTCTGTGCTCTATAAGCAGTCCTCCACTGTGCATTATAACAATAAGGCTTACTTTTAATACAAAGACTAAGTGTTTGGGAGTTATGAACCACTGGATTTAACAAACATCATTTTATAGTTGCTTTTTGCATCTTTTTTGTTTTTGGAATCCTCCACTTCATCAGGGTGCTCAGTAGCTTGGAGTTCTTCAGCAGATTCTTCTTTCTCTGACTCTGAATCACTTTCAGAGTCATCGGGACTTTCAGGATCAGGTGAATCATCATCATCATCATCATCTCCAGCAACATCACCTTCTCCATCATGATCTTCTACCTATGAACATCAACCAAAAGGCTCTTCTTATATACAATTACCCAGGACAAAAACTGGGAAAGACCCTCATTTTTGTCACAGTCTTAAAATTTAGGCCTGCTCCCTAGCCATTAAAATTAAGTTTTAAGACTGTATTATGATCACAGGCTGCCAAGTGAAGACCTGAGGACTCAAGCATCGCCATGTTTCACACATTAGGACTTAAGTAGGATTTTATTTTAAGAAACAGCTCTGAACAGGCTCAGTCAGTTAAACATCCACCTATTGATTTTGGCTCAGGCCATGATCTCAAGAGTCAGGAGATCAAGCCCTGCATTGGGCTCTGGACTGGCAAAGAGCCTGCTTAAGATTCCTGCTCTCTTTCAAAAAAAAGAAAAAAAGAAACAGCTCTGAAGACCTATTCCCCTCCCCCTAGTTTGCTAGTTTGAAAGCTATTATATCTTCCTGAAACAATATATATTTTTTAAAGTAAATATAAGGCAAGTTAACCGCTGACTCATGGAAATGTGGAAAAGTTATCAATATTGTACACATATTACTTTGAAGTAGTTAACCAGTAGTTATAATATGAATAAGGATCACTTAGAAAACAGAGAAAGAAGAGTGCCTGGCGGCTCAGTCGTTAAGCATCCGACTTTGGCTCAGGTCACAATCTCACCTTTTGTGGGTTCGAGCCCACGTGGGGCTCTGTGCTGACAGCTAGAGCCTGCTTCAGATTCTGTATCTCTCTTTCTCTCTGTCTCTCACCCTCTCTCACCCTCTTTCTTTCTCAGAATAAACATTAAAAAAAAAAAAAAAAAAAAAAACCGGAGAAAGAACTCTCCTAAACTAGTATTTACAGGAAATATTTCCCCTAACTTGTATGTTCATGCTTATTAAAGATATGCCCTGATGTATTTAAGCAGAATTTACAGTAAGCTTCTATCAGAAAACATCTGTAAAATTCTCAAAAGTATGTCTTCTCATTATCTACAAAGACCTATTTGGGCATACAGAAAATTACGTATCTGTATAAAGAAAGCTTTCTACATAGGATTACTAATTGCTAGAGTAACCTAACAGAAATAAAGATATCAATTTAGAAATTATCTTCCCATTTAACGAAAATGTTAATTACTACCTCACTGAAGCCAAGTCCACAATGTCGTCGGTATCTTCCTGATAATTTACTGTCCATACTTTGCTGATATTGAGACTCCAGTTCTTCATTAATTTTCTTGTCTTCTTCCCCTGCATGTCCAGTGTACTTTGGTTATGTTTCAGTTAAATTAATAAAAACATTTGATTACACAAAAAACCCATATTACAGACGCTATTATATTCAGGGCTGATTTCTCTGTGACTAATTTTACAATGAATTTTGTGGATAGGTTTCTCTATACCATAGGTAGTTACCTAACAGGCATAAAATAATTAAAAGATATATTTATGATTACTTCATTAGTAACCAATCCTCTGAACTACAAAAGTGTTTATAAAAGATGAAGAACTTAATATTTTTTATGTGATAACTTAAACCAGACCCAACAGTCTGAAAACTGCCTGAAGTTCAGATATTGTAAATATTAATTACTAAGAACTATGGGCCTTAAATGTTTTATGGTTTATTTATAGTGTAATAAATAACTATTCTCTGGAAAGTTAAGAGTTTTCTCCCACATTCAAAAAATCACCAACAAACAAAAGCGTCTGTCTTTGAACAGAAACAATAAAAAGGCAGGCAATTTCTGTTTAGAAAATAAATAAAATGTAATGGCTCAACTTTCTTACGTCTCAGTTTACTGAAGCAACATAAACTTGTTTAAAATTCTGTTATTATTACATACCATTTGATGTGTTATTTTTACATATACTGTCGCTTATGTAAATTATGAAGCAGAATACTAAACTACCTATGACCCTTCTACTCAAGAAGAGCGTAATTAATGCCATCAAAGCTTTTTGAGTATGCCATTTAAATTTGTAAATATGAGGAATTTCATCATTTTAATCATAAATGGTAGTGCTTGCATTTTTATTAATAAGTTCCATAGTTTTAAAAGAATAAATGTAGTGGTTAAATAGTTTTCCATCCTTCAAAGCTCAGGGATTCTTTTTGCTTTTTTTAGCAATGCAAATCAATTTAAAATAATTGTTTAACATTAGAAAAATGAAAGATCTATTAATTTTCAAAAATGTGCTACATATTCTAGGTCAGTGTAAAGTTAATTTAAATAATTTAACTAGAAGATTTGTTAAATATGATCCAGGTCATTATGCCCTGTCATTAATAATGTCCAAAATTAGGGTCAGTTTTAAGCAGGAGAAAATTCATTTGTCAGTAGCCTGAATTCAAATCTAAACTCTTCATTTTTAGTTTTTATTTTAAAAGTATTTCCTCTAAAATTAAAAAGTTAATTTCTTCAGGCTTTGCAACAAGTTTTTTATTCTTAAGGATTTCAAAATAAAACTGAGTGAATAAATTCAAAACCAGTTTAATATGCCAACTATAACACTGTATGTTAAATAATTTATAGTTGGCAAGATGAGGCATAAAACCTCACTACAACTAAAACATGTTATTAATCAGTAAAAATGAAGACAGAAAAAAGTTTCTTGGTTAGCATATCATTGATATATACTTTCAAATCTTTAAAAATTAAAGTATATGCTAATTGTTACATGATAAACACATTTACATATACACTTCCAATTCTAATATTTTAATTACTAATACAACTATACAAACCAGAATATCCTGACTTATAGAAGCCAGAATATCCTGAAATACAAATATATCATATTCCAAATCTAGCATTACCTCTTAAATTATATTTTACTTTCTTACCTGTTCGGAAGTGAGATGTTGATTTGTGATCTCCTATAACAAGACGACCAGTATGTTCTTTCTATAAGAGAGTAGAAAATATACTAGAATTTGAGACCACTAATTTAAAATAATTAGTGAGTGTCTACTATGTGCCCAACACTACTCCAGGCTTCTGGGATAGAGCAAAAAAAAAAAAAAAAAAGAGAGACCTGAGATTCTTATCTTTATGGAACTTATATTCTAGCAAAGGAAGAGATAAGGAGGGGAAATGACATCAACAAGCAAATTATAGAATGTTAGAAAACTCTGTGTCATTAAAACAAATACACAGAGCAGAGAAAGAGAGAGTATGTTGAGATCATGCTGGAATTTCAAATAGGATAGATAACTAAAAACTGAGTTGATACAAAGATTTTTTTTTCCTCAAAGGCCAATTAAATGAGTTGCTTTAACTCGTCCACCTCCTCTTTCTGATGCTCAGGCACATCTTTAGAGAGAAAGCAAATGAAATTATTTAGCTAGGTAAAAATGAAGTAACTGATAGACTTCTAGTAAACAAAGTGATCTTTTAAAATATACAAAATAAAAATAGTCACTGTAACGTATCACAACCAAATAGCCAGTTATTATTTGACTACAATACCCAATCTTAAACTGTCAAAAAAAATTTTTTTAAACAACCTAATTCTATAAAACACAAAAATACATTATGATTCAATGTTACTAATTATCAGGCTACATAATTACTCTCAATTACCAGGTACAATCCACTCTTTATAGTTCATATAAATCAATGACTCAATATACTGCTTCTTTAGATTGCAGAAGACACCCCCATTAACAAGATTTGAAAATATATACGGCATCATTGAGGATGAGGATAGTAGCGCAGTGGTCTATTTATACTTTCTTTCAGTTGGTTCTCCCTGTGACCAGTAAAATACTTATGGTAGCTGGCTAGGCTTAGGAATATAAATGTACCCTCTGGCCACAAAACAGAATAAATCTAAACAGCTTGTATATAAGATCAAAGCTACAATCTTGGTCTTGCTAGGAAAGAATTTAACATATGCTAAAGAGCTAATATATTGGTAGCCAAATTTCTTCTTTTTTAAAATTACTTGATTTGTTCTTTCTTCTCCCCAGTTTTAATGAGTTATAGTTGACTCATTAAACTATGAGTATTATGCCACTATGACTGGTAGCTAAACTTCATACACTTTATATCAGAGTATTCTTCCTAACTACTTGAAGAGTTTTTATTCTATTAGGTTGAGTATGTCCCCTAAATGATTACTTACTTTATATACTCTTAGCAAATATTTTACTTAAATGAATCAAGAGAAACTTCAGACTACTTTCTATGATGAATTACAAATAAAAAAAATTTTTAATGTTTATTTTTGAGAGGGAGTGAGGCAGTATACATGTGAGTGGGGGAGGGGCAAGGACACCAGGAGACAGAATCCAAAGCAAGTTCTGTACCGTCAGCACAGAGCCCAATGTGGAGCTCAAGCTCAACGAACCATGAGATCATGACCTGAGCCAAAATCAAGAGCTGGATGCTTAAACGACTGAGCCACCTAAGTGCCCCAGTATGTTACAAAATTATTGGGAAAACTGGATTAATGAGATATTATACTATACATATTATACTATATGAATCCTTGTATAGGTCTTACTGTGTTGCATGATTTCCCCTACCCTGAACCCCATTGTTCTAGTCTGGCTAACTCCTCTTCATTTCACCAATTCTATTTCTGGGATGCTTTCTTGTACCACCAAGGCAGTTAGCTACCTTTGTCTGTTGATTCCACAGCACTATGTGCATAGTTCTTTCATAGCAATTATAATTCTATATTATCTGGTTTCCTCTATTACATGATGGCTCCAAACATGTGTTATCTATGTGACCCCCAGGACCTAGTATGGTACCTGGCAAGTAGTGGATGGTCAGTAATTGTTGGTTAATGAGTAAGATAAAAATGTGTGTCCACACAGAGACCTGTAGACAAAGGGCCACAGCAGTACCATTCATAAGAGCCAAAGAGTGGAAAACCCCAAGTGTCTATCAATGAGATGATAATCTGGTAAAATATAGGAATGCATCTCCTCATGAATAACAAAAACAAAGTGCAGATTTTAGTTTTGGCGAGCTTAAAAGATAAAAGATTTCTTATTTTATCCACATTTGGTTTGTAGAAAGATTTTTGGGAGAATGTTAGGAAAATAAATTTACTTGCTTATACAAAATAAATACCTAGAGATACCTGCATTTGCATGTAAAAATTACTGCTAGGAACAAGAAAGGTTTTTTTCCACAATAGGTTATGTTTTCCTGGCATCTATATCTTGTATCTTTACTGTGATAATCAAACTGAAAGGGATTTCAAAATATACTAAAAATTCTAAAAATTAAGTTTTGGGGGCACCTGGTGGCTCAGTCAGTTGCACATCTGACTCTTGATTTCAGTTTAGGTCATGATCTTAGTTCATGAGATCAAGTTCCCAATCAGGCTCTGAGCTGACAGTGCAGAGCCTATTTGCGATTCTCTCTTTCCTCTCTACCTCTCCCCTGCTTGCACTCTCTCTAAAAATAAACATACATTTTTTATTCAAACTTCTGATAAAAGCTTGGTTACTATGAAAGGACTAACATTTGGTCTCCCCAGAAATACCTTCTATTAAATCAAGGCTAACAGATAGCAAATCATAAACTTTCTTCCATTGCAGTCTCCTCAAACCAAGATTTTTATGTTTCAGTCTCTAAACCTTACTGCCCAATGGCACTGAAGTGGTTCAGAAATAGTACACATTTGGGGCACCTGGGTGGCTTAGTCGGTTAAGCGTCCAACTTTCGCTTAGGTCATGATCTCGCGGTTCGCGGGTTCTAGCCCCGCATCGGGCTCTGTGCTGACTGCCAGCTCAGAGCCTGGAGCCTGTTTCAGAGTCTGTGACTCCCTCTCTCTCTGACCCTCCCCTGCTCACGCTGTCTCTCTCTCTCTCTCTCCTAGAAATAAATTAAAAAAAAAAAAAAAAAGAAATAGTACACATTTTAAGTGCTTGGTTAGGTCAGCTGTATTTCCCAAAGCCAAAAGTAATTATGTAGACCAGGAAAATGAGATCCAAATATATTCAATCTGGGTCATTCAAGAGACAAAATAAGGGTATTATTTTCACAGAAAAGACTTTAAAAAAAAACACATACTGTTTGATGCTTACCTTTCCTGCACCCATAAGTCTCAAGAACTTTTGTTTTCTTTCCTCATTACCTAAGTCTGCTGCTTCCCAATTGCTAGATCCAAGCTGCAAAATAAATTTGTCAATTAATTTTTTTTTTGCATAATAAACATTTAAGGTCTACCCGTGACTCCCAAGGTTTTTTTTCCTCCCTGTCATTTTTAACTATAAACAGGGCTCACTATTTTTGCTTAGGAAGTTAAGCACATGCATCATATTCAAATTTAAATATACTCCTTTTCTGTTGTATCAAGGCAGAATCCTTTAGTGCTTTTGCAGCCAGAGCTCTGAATCTCAAAAATCTGCATTTATCAGAATCACCTGGAGGGTGTGTTAAAACTCAAACTGCTAGGCTATACCCCAAGAATTTTAGATCAACTAAGTGTGGGGTGGGGCTCAAGGATTTCATTTCTAACAAACTAAGTAATGATGATGCTGTTGATGTTAGGACCACACTTTGAGACCTACTAAGGTCCCCTGCCTTGCAGGGGGCCCAAGAGTACCTTTTGAACCCAGAGACTGCCACAGTTGTTAGCTGAAATTAGTTTGGTTTTAGGGATATTCTAAGAACAGTGTAACATCAGAATCTAATGGGCCCAATTTTAGGTTTTCAATTTCTACTTTGTGCAGCTCTAGTTATTTGTGAGGATTGATATGTTAAGACTTCTATTCTTTACTAAAGGTCTTCTGAAGAACAGAAAACTTATTTTAAGAAACAGTAAAACTCATTCTACCCTATAATTATCAAATGGTTAGTTGAGCCCTTTTACAAATTTAAGAATTATGGAATTGTAGTGATATTTTCCCCTACATTTTGAAACAAAGGTAGGAAATATTTCATTATGATTCATTAGTTATTGCCAACTATGCTAAACATGACTAAAATAAGAAAACAGAAAAATGGTAGAGGAGTTTTCTCATGTTGTCCAAAGTATTGCATCATCTTTCAAGAAGACATCACTCCTCTGTTGTATGCTTCAAGCTGTCATGGACACAGTCAAAAGTCCAGAATTTTTCATTTCTACTCCTAATGGCAACTGGGTAAAAACTAAAAACTGACAGAAGTCATTTCACAATTATTAGATGAATAAAATGAATGCAAAATGATAGGTACTGTACCCTAAACAATGGCAAAATTAATTATATATGTAAAAATCTTACATTATGAATATTTGGATGATGAAACACTAGATGACTTTTCTCCAACCCAGGAATCAACAAGAGACAAAGTGGGATGGGGAGGGAGACAAAAAAATATGGCACTCTTATCTAGAAAGAGTCATTCAACAGGAAGGACCTCATTTTGCAATACTGTGCAGTAAGAGCCTGGACTATTCTGTTTTTCTAAAAATATGTGTGATTGTTTCACCTTTTATGATATTTGTAACCAAAATTTACTTGATAGGATTTCAAACTGGACAAGTGAAGGCAGATATGTGTACAAAGGTGACTGGAAGGAATGTGAAAATGAAAATATTCATTGGATTCATCATTCTAATTGAGTTTATATTCTAAAATTGAAAACGTTTTCCAATTATGGAGAAAAGACGACAACCCCCTTTTCAACACAAAATTATGAGCACAAAGGTTGAAGTTCTTAAAGTATATTTTGAGGGTGCAAATGCTAGAACTACAAATGATAGAACTAAAATCTATTAGATTTTATTTGAAATCTGAAATTTTATGTTTAAATGTGTTTTACACACAATTGACAAGCAGTTAGCTGTATTCAGAGGATGCTAACCATTTTGGGTAAATATATCATGAAAATTAGGCAACTGTAATAGAAATTTGGGTTTGCTATGGTTACATTCATATTAGAATTTTCCTTTTTTTTAAAATTTTTTTTAACATTTTTTATTTATTTCTGAGAGAGAGAGAGACAGAGTGAGCAGGGGAGGGTCAGAGAGTGAGGGAGATACAGATTCTGAATCAGGCTCCAGGCTCTGAGCTGGCTGTCAGCACAGAGCCCGACGCGGGGCTCGAACCCACGAACTGTGAGATCATGACCTGAGCCAAAGTCGGACGCTTAACCGACTAAGCCACCCAGGCGCCCCTCATATTAGAATTTTCAATAAAATTGTGTGTGTGCGTGTTTTGTTTTTGCTGTCTTTATTCTTCTGGAAATTATCTGTAGAAGACTTACAGAATATAAAAGAAGCAATGGTGACCATTTCTCTGAGGATATGAATGTTAAAGTATCTGTACAACATGGGACACTCACTGGTGGTTCTTCTAAATTCCTTTTGATTGGGAGCTTATATGCTTTCATGATTTGGGCTACCTAATTTGCAGTCTCTACTTCCTTCCATCTAACAACTCACATCTTTTTATAAGCCAGTTAGTTCTTAACTATTTCTGAACCTAGTTAAGAAATAAAAGGCAAAATACTGGTGAACCTTAAGTTCTGGTTCCATCACTTGCTCTCTGTAAGCCTGGACGTGGTATTTAACTTTAATGAATGTGTTTTCACTCATTATCTACATTAAGAAGCTTCTTTAAAAGACTATTTTAAGAATAACAAAACCCAACAATTGCATAATGTTTCATAACTTGCAGATGACTGTTCACTTATATTCTCTCAAGAATCCATTTAATAAATAAGAACATGAAGGCAAAGGGACTTAAAAGTTTAAGTTACTCACTCTGATCCTTTTGCCTTAAGTTCTTGGCTCTTTCCGCATCATATTGTTTATGACCAAATGGGGCAGAATACATGGAAGTAGTTTATGAACTACAGTTATAGAAGTTATATAATCAAGGGAAAAACAAAACTCTCTATCAGCTAAAACTTTTCTGAACTATTTCTATTAAAAGAGCAAGTATCTTCAATATCTTTACATAAATAATCTTATCCTTTACAATATCTAATCCAAATGTGTTTTCAATCAAGTCCTGGTTCTTCCTTTCAAAGACCTTAGCATACGACCGCAAGCAGTACCTTGACCAGGTGCTGCATTCTCAAAAGCACATGGGTGCCTGATAACATTCTTAGAGGGTCTCTGCTAGTTACAATTAACCTCCCCTCTCCTCCTACTTCCTAAATAGCTTTCATTTCTTCAGTCAAACCAATGAGAACTTAAGGGTAAGTTCTTTACCCTTTATACCTTTTACTATAGAATTGCAGTCAATTTACCTCCTCCTGAATACATACCCTAGTAACTCTTAGAATTTATTTCTAACACTGTCAGCGTTTTCTTAGAGCTGGATTCCATGTTTAATATCTACTTTTAATATCTCTCAAAATGTGTTGTTATCCCCTTTTAATATGTGAGGTCAAGTAGGCAAAATATCTTTATCTTTTATATGCAATGGATGTTCATTAGAAATTGATGACCAACTACAGCTTCAATTATAATTAGGTGATTTTCTACAATTTAGATATTTATTTCAAAAGTGTAGTTTTAAATTCTGTATATAGTACTTAAACATATTTAAGATAATTCCCAATTACCAGTAAAATACTCACACGAACGAAACTTATTTAAAAAAAGAATCACGATCAAAAGACAAGTTACTCTATTGCACTTTAACATAAAATTAGTAACACAGTCATCTTTAGACTGTGTTACAGTTGCAGAGCCTAATCTTGAATTGCAACTATAACCATCTCCTTCAGTGGAGAATGCTTTTAAGATTGGAAAAGATCTTAAAGGTCATCTCGTTTAAACTGATCCCATCAGACAGAAGCTGTTAGAGTTAATTAGTTAATCCCTTTGACTTTGTTAAATTACCTAACATCAAGAGTTTTCTGTCAAGCTATAAGATTGTTTCTCTGAGTCTAGCAAAACAGGTGCCTGACATTCTGGGAATCAAGTCACAGTTAAATACCAGGAGAAAAACACTGTAATAGCTCTTAAAATGGCACCCAGGTTACTCAAATACCTTTAAACAAATACCTGACAAGTACTGGATTGCTGTGTTAACAAGATCTAAAGCCAGAAGCAGGTAAGAACATGGGGCATGAATAAATCTATGTAACTATTCACCCCCAAATCTTTACTGATTGCTAATCTTTCTGCAGAGCTAAATTCAATTTAAGAACCTTGGTATTCCCGTGGTAACACCAACCACCACCCATCCAAAGTGGGATGGGTCTTAACATCATCTCATTTGCTACAACTTATAGTAACAGTAGTCTTTAGTGAGTTTAATGGTTCACAAGTAAGGTATTATGAAAAGCACCGAACTGCACTATAGAAATAAAGAACTCCACATATTCGAAGATTAAGAGTGCTTTAAACAATAACTGAAAGAAAACTAGATGTTCTTTTATCGTCCTTAAAGATGGACTTCCGATGCCACCGCACCCCCCCTCGCGCCCCCCAAAATTTCTCAATCAATGTCCCCAAGGCGTTTATTCATTGTATGAAGGACCTAGTTTTCCGTTTACTGCAGTCTCCATGACACTGCGCTAAGAGCTATGACAAATGTACAAAAAGACTTAGGATAAGAACCGTACTTATTCATCTTTGAATTCCCAACACCTGGCATAGCAGTAAAGATTTAATGCATTACTTTAAGGAATGAATGGTTTGGGGTTGGGGGGCGGGGAAGAAAGGTGGCTGAAATCAAAATGGGCTTCTAGGTCTCAACATCTTAGACCTTACCACCATGCGTCAGTACGAAATTACTCCCCTAGTACACTATTCGGTTCAATACTGTTCTCCGTTTACTTTCAGTAGTACATTGCAAACATAATTCCGGCCGGAAAATCTGTCCAAACGTGCACCCATATCTTGACATTGTCACAGGGGCATTTTAAACCTCAAACAAGGAGAATCTTGCCATCCCTATCTTAAGTAGAAAGGCCCGACAAAGAAGCTTCATCAGTCCCCAATTAAGCTTCTCGACCCTCTTAGGAATTTTTTCTCGAACCCCCTTCCTACGCAGGTCTCTGGCTCTTAAGGTGTAGACCTCTTCAAACCTTCCGACCCTCAATTAAGGAAAGGAGACATTTCCCAGTCATTCTTCTGGTTCCTCCCCCTCGGCCCTCCCCCTTCGGGCCACCTCAGACGCTTCCTCTTGCTTAATCCACCCTTCCCGGCCTACCCCAGCCTTTAGTAGGCCTCAACCCTCATCCACTCCGCCATTGTTATTTACATCGTCGTCTGGGGAGGCTGAACGCTTCACCCCGTGCGGATGGGACTCCCTGGCAGCACTCATCGTTGCGGAGACGCCGACGGGAAACGCTGAACCCACTCGCCGTTCTCTTGAACCCCGGCACCAGCAGCCTGCAACCTGCCACGGGCCCAAGCAGCGCCACTCCAGAACGCAGAGTCCCTCCAGGCCTTCTCCGCCACAGTCGTCACCGCCGCGGCTACTCGCCACTATGGAGCACTCTGGCAGTTGTAGTTTTCCGGCTCAATCCATACCGACTAGAAGATACCGGATGGGTGGGCAAACTAAAACTACAACTCCCAGGAGGCTCAGCGGCTCAGATCGCGCTGTGTGGCGGGAGTGCCCTCTGAAGCTCCGCCTTCAGGAGCTGGTGCAGGGAGCTTTCTCGCGGATGGGTATGGCGGTGAGAGTTCGTTTAAAGCTTCGTTGCCACAGAAAGACTGTTTTCACTGTGAGATGCTGCCCTGCTGACAGATGCGTCTGTCATAGTTAAGCACTGAGGTTTAAATGTAATGTTTGGAGAGTATTAAATCCTCACGGACACCCTGCACACACAACGAAAACCTTAAAAAAAAAAAATGGCTTCTACTGTTTCCACCCTGGCGTTCTCAATTGCTGTTAAGGGATTTCTAGGGGACCGGCGGCGGGACTTTCTAGAAGATTCTAACGAATAGTTTGCTGATATTTCATTCTCACCGAAATGAGTTCGATACGGTGCTAGTTAATTGGCTATTACTGAAACTAGGGTCCACCTGAGGGAATTCTGTAAGCTGTACACACACGTCTGTGTGAAGCGACCCTCCTTGATGATGTTTAGGCATTGTACCTTTGGGGCCTTCAAGTGGAGTCCGTTTCTGCCAGAAAGCTCTGTATCTTTTAATGTTCCTTAGAAAAGCTTTTTTATTGAGTTGAGGTGAAATTCACGTAACAAAATGAACCACTTTTTGAAGGTGTACAATTTTAAATGACATTTGGTACATTCGCAGTGTTGTGCAACCATCACCTCTATCTAGTTCCAAGACGTTTTCATCACCCCAAAACGTCCGCCCTGCTGCCACCTCAGCGGCCGCTAGTCTACTCAGAAAGTGCTGTATCTAAAGATTTTATTCATATAGTGGACATTCATTCATAAAGTATCAAAGGTATCTGAATTTTTGACCAGGCCTGATTCTGGCTGCTTTCAACCCTAATATTCTGTCAGGATCCTTGTCCTTACTCCGAAGCTTTCTGACCTTGAAGAAAAATTTAATTCTTTTAAAGCAAAAATCAGTAAGTGATATGACAGTATAGCTCTAGTGTGCATTTTGGTGATGAGAGCAGCCTGTGAAACTGCTTAATAACTATTAGCTTCTGATTTTAGCAATTATTCTAGCCTGACTGCTTGCGTAGAAATAGTATTACCATTCTAGATTTCATATGATTCTTGTACCATTTACAGAACTGGTGACCGGTGGAAGACAGTTCTTTAATTTATGCAGTCATGTAAAAGGAGCAAATTTTGCTCCTTTATTTTGGAAGCAAAGAAATAACAATGCTAATTAGGATTATATGGGGAAGAAAACACCTCAGGGTCATATTTTATAACCAACCAAGGGCACCTTAATCAATTAGGTCTGTGGTAAGAATAAAATATAAATCAAGGAGGGGAAGAGTAAAACCCATGAGGAGAAAAAAATGTTTGGGGGAAGTAGTTACTTCTTGTTTACTACGAATTAAAATGTTTTGCATATTAACTGATTCTACAAAGATTTTGTAAGTATAATTACAATGAAATTACAGTTAATTTACAGATTTTTCTAGGATGGACTACAGTTCACATCCAAAGGGTTTGATGGGTTATAAATACTTACAATTTAGAACTTAGCTTTATAAATAAATAAATGGGGAGGCTGAATAGGTAATTTGGACCTGCTAAAAAAGACTATCAATAAGGTTAATAGTTACTAAATACTTCTAACTTAATTTGGTGAAAGTCCAGAAGAGTTTAACGAGCTAGCAACCTGTCTTTTATTTCTTCACCAGAATTGTTGGCACCTGGATGACTAACTCTTCAAGTTGTCATAAATCAAGATCACAAGCCAAAGAGTAACATAGGAAATAAAAAAGACTGGATCATTTTATTAGATTTTACTGTTTCATATACAGAAGGCTGTATAGGTAAGGATGAAATATTAGTGCAATAGAAATTCATATATGGCACAGAAGCTCAGTAATACCTTTTCTCCTCATTTTGCAAGGAGAAGATACTCTGTCCCAGGTGGAACTCTGAAATAAGTTCTTTAGGATTGTGACTGTTCCATCTTAATTTTTAGTTTCTGTATCTTCTGTCACAATGCATGCCACAGAGTAGTTAATAGCTTTTTTGATACAGGAAGTATGAAGTTATATAATGTAACAGAGTGGTACCTCATATAAGTCCTAGAAACCTAGAAATGTTCTTTATTGGATGGTGGAGACAAGGAGAGGACACCCTGTTAGTAATAGCACTTTAAAATACTTTCTTGACCATGCCTTTTTCATTTTTTATATACCCAATGCTTTAGCATATAGTTGGCATTCATATATGTTTGTTGAGGGTGTACATTAATATTCCCTCAACCAAAAGCAGTCATAACTGGGGTGCCTGGGTGCCTCTGTTAGTTAATCGTCCAACTTTGGCTCAGGTCATGATCTCACGGTTTGTGGGTTCGAGCCCCATGTCAGGCTCTGTGCTGACAGCTCAGAGCCTGGAACCTGTTTCAGATTCTGTATCTCCCTCTCTCTCTGACCCTCTCCTGCTCATGCTCTCTCTCTCTCTCTCTCTCTCAGAAATAAATAAAACATTTAAAAAATTCAAAAGCAGTCAAAACTGAACATGGTTAACCTAAAGAAGACATGAAAGTTCTAATAAATAGGTTCTTTTTTAAACATTTTTTGATGTTTTATTTATTTCTGAGAGAGAGCCAGGAAGGGTCAGAGAGAGAGGGGGATACAGAATCTGCAATAGGCTCCAGGCTCTGAGCTGGCTGTGAGCACAGAGCCCAACGCGGGGCTCGAACCCACAAACCGTGAGATCATGACCTGAGCCAAAGTCAGACGCTTAAGCTTAAGCGACTGAGCTACCCAGGTGCCCCTGATAAAGGTTATGTACAAAAAAACTTGCTATTGTATTATCTGAGACTAAAAAAAAAAAAAAAAAATTCCTGGAGCCATTGTTATTGAATATCCATTATGCACCATAGATGTTGCTGGGTGCTTCTCAAAACTTCACAACAATTTGCAAGGATTTTTATTTTATAGAGGATGAAGCTTAAGGAAAGTTAAATGCTTGCCCATGATCAGAGAGCTAGCTAATGAGTGAATGACTAATTGGGGATTTAGTCCTTAAGTCTAACTACAAAAACCCATGCACTTTGCACTGTGGCAATATTAATCAACATTTACATAGTGGGCTTAGTATGTGTGAGGCATTGTGCTAAATTTGAAGAAAACCAGAATGATGTATAATCCCTTACCTCAAGAAGTTTACAGCTTGGCTCCCCTCCCTGCTCCCGGCCTCTTCAGGGTGTGCTACTCCGATTCTACAGTTCCTGAGCTAGCGTTCCCTGGGCTCCCCACCCCGAGTGGAGGAAGAAGGCCCCCGGGTAGGGAGGTGGTTTCGACCCAGGGTCTGGAGGTCCCCAAAGTAAGTGGCCAGTAAATACCTATCATTAATAGTCCTCTTGTACTACTGTGAAGACAATAAATAAATAGCACACACAAAAAAAAAGTTTACAGCTTGGTTGGGGAGGAATGATTAAACGGTGCCACTAAGTTACAGATAAAATTCTACGAGGAGACACCTGAGTGGCTCAGTCAGTCAAATGTCTGAGTCTTGATTTCGCTTCAGGTCATTATCTCAGGGTGGTGAGATTGAGCCCCGCAGCCCTGTTTCCAGGTCAGCATGGAACCTGCTTAGGATTCTCTCTCTTTCTCTCTCTGTCCCTCTTCAGTGCTCACTTCCTCTTTCTGTCAAATTAAAAAAAATAAAAATTAATGCTGTGGAAGCAGTTCATTTTAGCTGAGGGAAATGGAGGAATTCTTCCCTGAAAGTTTTTGAGTTAGACCCTAAAAAACTGTGGAAGCAGGGTGGGGCATGTATTCAAGAATGGTTAGTGTTCTATGCAACTGAAATCTGATAAGCACAGAAGTAGCATATTCTCAGACAAAACTTTATAGGTGAATTAAAGCCAGGCTGATCAAAGCTTTGAGTTTGAATCTCTCACTGTGTGTATTGAGGTTCAAATCCTCTGTTTCATTGATTTATAGTAACCTTTTCCCATGCTCTAATAGTTCCCCAGTTAAATCCGTTTTACACATCATAACCAGACTCATCATCTGAAAATGGAATGTAGAGACTCTCCTGCTCAAAAAGTGCCTGGAGCTTCTCACTTTGTACAAAATTAAGTTGATAAAGTTGGTATAATTGGCCTATAATTGAGGGTCTGTATTCTGACCTCAGTCATTCACTCCATCTTATTTTCTTTCTTTTTTTACATTTATTTTTCTTAAAAAAATTTAAAGTTAATTTATTTTTGACAGAGAGAGGGAGCAGGAGAGGGGCAGAGAGAGAGGAAGAGAGAATCCCAAGCAGGCTCCATACTGCTTGGAGCCCGATGTGAGACTCGATCTTACAACCATGAAATGACAACCCGAGCCAAAACCAGGAGTCTGATGCTTAATGGACTGTGCCACCCAGGTGCTCCTCCATCTTATTTTCTACTGCTAACTTTTATTTATGTTGTTAGACTGTCATCACTAGTTAGAATAAAAATATATGTGCTATAATAGAGGTATGAATAAAGATACAAGTCTTGCTGGCTATTATAGACTATCTAAGAACCTTTTGAGTAGAATCGAAGCTTAGCATCATGACTTGTGTATAAACCATGATTCGAATTTTTGTTATATTAATATATGAATGGATGTGGTCAGAGAGGAGCAGGTTTATGTGGTAAGATAATGAGTTTTTTTTTATTTTAGACATGTTAAATTTTAAGGTATTGGTGGGACACTGACTGGAACTGTTTAGTAGGCAGTTAGAAATACGGGATTCAGGGGCGCCTGGGTGGCTCAGTCGGTTAAGCATCCGACTTCGGCTCAGGTCACGATCCCACGTTGGGCTCTGTGCTGACAGCTCAGAGCCTGGAGCCTGCTTTGGATTCTGTGTCTCCCTCTCTCTCTGCCCCTCCCCCACTCATG